AAAAATTAAAAAGTACAAAGAACTCAAAGAAATGGAAGAGGAATTGACAAGATTAAAGTCTTTGCTTGATAAAGATGGTGATGATGAAATATGTAGAAATTTTTACTTAACTTACATAAGAAAAATTGTTAATGTTAGTTTAGACGAATTGAATTTGATTCATCAAGAAAAACCATTGGCAAAACATTTAGCCGAAGTTAGAGCTAGAGGTACTTCGTTCAGCGTTCAAGAAAATAAAGACAAATATCCGGTTAAACCGTTTAAACCGATTATAATAACTAGAAATGAATTACAAAAAAAAGTTTTCGGAGCTGGTTATCCTAGTTTACCAACAATGACTGTCGATGAATTTTACAGAGAGAGAGTTGCCGAAGGAATGTAAGTAACCCAAAATAATATTCACATCGATATTTAATATGTGAAAGTTAATTTTTTTTTTTTTTTTTTTGTTTTTAAGATTTCCTGCTCATGGTTCGAATCACGGTAAAGTTTTACAAGAAATGACTGATCCTGAAGTTGTTAAAGCTCAAGAAGAAACAGAAAAAATTCAAAAAGAAAATGAAATAGAGACTGATGACCCGACATATTTGGATAAAACAAGAAGAATGGATGAATTTAAAGATACGCATAAAAGAGGCTGGGGTAACAGAATGAATAAAAGTTAAATAAATTCTTATTGATTATTCATTATTATGTCTCATTAATAAGTATTTTTAACTTTTTTTTTTTTCTAAGATTAATACATTCATTCATTTATTTAGTTTTATTTTAGTGAAAAAAAAAAAAAAGAAACTGATTGAATATTAGTCACCGTTATTTGTATCAAAAATTATATATATATATATATATATATATATATATATTTTTGAATAATTATCAAAGTTTTGTACCTCATAATAATATATAATATTACCATTTTATAAAATGAAATCTGAATTTTTTTTTTTTTTAATTTATATTCGAATATATGATTATCATTAAATTTTTTTTTTAATACGCGTATTATCGTCTGACTTAAAATATTTAATTTCTAAATGTAATAATTAGTTTGTATTTTGTAATACTTGAATTTTTAATTAATATATATATATCTATATAATCTGACTTGATATTTTAATTTATTTCTAAATACGATATAAGCTTTACTTACATATTAATAAATAAAACTTCTTGCACTATAACTATAAATTATAAATTTAATTTTTTTTTTTACTAAAACTTTGAGTTTTTACGCCAAAAAACCGAAATTTACACGACAAACTAAAATGGCGGAAATTTCAATAAAAAATTGTCGTGGCACAAGATCAAACGAATTGCTGCGAATAATATTGTGCTTGTTGTTAATATTAAAATATATTTATATGAAATAGAAAAGAAAAAATATATATATTCGTGTACTAATAATGGTAGAGGAAAAACAACAAGTGGTAAGTGAAGTTATTTTTTAAAATTTTATTTATATTACCTTTTTAATTATTTTATTTAAATCGATGTAAACAAATTTCGTCTCGTGTTTAGGTTTTTTTTTTTTTTTTGATGTACAAATTATGTTTACAGTAATTTTTATTTTTACCGTGCATAATTAATTACTTAAAAATTTTTTTTTTATTTTTAAATCGATGCTTAATAATATTATAAAATTTACATTTATTTACCATTGACTTTAACTTTTATTAATAATTAAATATTGAGTTGTTTGATAATTATTTTATAAATTGCATTTGTATTTAATTAACTTTTATAGGAATGGGGAAATGAAAAGTTAATCAAAGCACAAAATGCTATCGACAAAAATCCATATGATTTGGATTCTTGGAACATTTTATTAAGAGAATCAATGGTGAGATGGATTGGAGAAATGAGACCATTTTATGAACAGTTAATATTAGCATTTCCAACCTGTGGAAGATTTTGGAAAATTTACATAGAACAAGAGGTAAAAAATAAAAGGTAATTTTTATAAATTTTTTTGTTTTCAACATGTTTCTGTAAACATTTTTTTTTTCTCGTTTATTTTCAGATGAAAGGTCGAAATTTTGAAAAAGTTGAAAAGGTATGTGTTATTTTAATATATAATTTGTTAATAGTTTTTTCCACCTTTTGTCATAAATATAATATGATATTTAGTAACAGTTGTGATTCTATCCACAATCATAACTTTTTTTTCCTTATTACATTTAAAAAAAAAAATATATTTTTTGTATTTAGACAAAAAAAAAAAAAAATAGTTTATTTTTATAGAAATTAAAATCAAATAGAAAACCTTTTTTTGATAATGTTCATTAATTTTTACAATTATAATTTTAGTAATATGAGTTTATGTATGTGCATATATACATTTCGAAAGAATTGAATTTTTCTTAAAACGAAGTTAAATTATCAGAAAAAGACTTCTTTGATTTTAAACCCTTTTTTTGTTTTTCTCTCTCTCGATAAAGTGCATTCATTTTATTCTAAAGTGAAAATATTTGAAGGTGTAAAGAAAAATCTCATTTACTTTGTGGTATTAATTAATTTATTTTTGTTAGATAATATGTCGAAGTAAATTTTAATTTTTTTTTTTTTCATCCTGCTTGAAATTCTTTAACTCGAATTTATATTTATATTTGTACGAAGTATGTAAGTATAAGTTTCTCTCGGTTTTGAGCGATCCCCTAAAAAGATATTCTTATATGCTCTATTCGAAACTTTATGTGTAGTTTTATAACTTTAATTTAAAAAAATATTTAAGTACTTTAAAATGGTCAATTATTACCAAAGGTAGGTGTTTTTGGTTTTACTTATTTTATCAGGTAAGTCGAATTAAAAAAACAAATATATACCACTTTAAAGTAATTTAGATTTCTAAGTTTTCGTTTGGTTTATTATTAATTTTTGTATTTTAATAAATAAAAAAAAATATCCATCGAATAATTATTTATTTATTTCATTATTTATTTATTAAGCTTTTGAATAAATTAATTATGTTGTTTTTTTTTGTATAATTTTTTTTTTTTTTTTTTTTTTTTTTTTTTATTCATTGGGAAAGAAATTATCTTTATTAGAATAATTTAAAACAGGCTAGTGATGGGCGCCATTTTGAATTATTTAACGGATTTTATTAGTAGGCTGTGACTTTTTCTATTTAAGTTAAAATGTTGTGATAAAAGTATTGAATGTTTTTTTTCTTTTTTTTTAAACTTATTTTATTTATTAAAAATGTACATCGTTAAATAAATTTTAAATGTGGAAAAACGATTTTGTTTTTATTAAAAAAAAAAAAGTATGGAGGATTACAGGTTTCTAAAGAATTGCCTAAGGAAATGAAGAAACGAATGTTTTTTTGTTAACTATTCCGTTTACCAGAAATGGATGGAACACCAAAAACCGTTATTTCAAAAAAAAAAAAAGTATAAATGAAAACTTTTTGTAAAGAGTTTTTTTTTTAATTATTTTTACTTTTTAAAAAATATATTTATATATAAAATTAATTATTAAAAATTTGTTATTTTTAATAATGATACTAAAAAAAAAAATTATCTTTTAATTTTTTTTTTTTTTTTTTTCCAAATTAATATTTATTTTAAAGAAAATAATTAAGGCAAAGCATTCATTAACTAATATTTTTATATTAATTAATATTATTTTTAAAAAAAAGTTTACTTGATAAATAATAGTGAACAATTCTTAAAGAGAAAAAAATGAAATTGTTAAAACCATGCTTTCACTCATATAAAAAAAAAATTTCAAAAAAAAAATTAGTCAGTTAGTCATATAAAATATAAAATTGATAAAACAAACATGGCACATTTTATTATAAGATAATAATGATAAAGGTGTACAATCAAAACAACAACAACCAAAAAAAATTTAGTAAATAATATTGTCTTTTAAACTGATAATACAAAAATTTATTTTTCTTTTATTGAATTAGTATTATTATTATTAATTATTTTTTGTCAATCGTTTGTTTCACAACGATAATACATTTCATAGCATTTAGAAAAAAATTTCTTTTTTTTTTTTTTATTGTTTTCAGTTATTCCAAAGATGTTTAATAAAAATATTACACATTGATCTCTGGAGGCTTTATCTTCAATATGTTAAAGAAACAAAATCGTCATTACAAACATACAAGTAAGTTTTAATTGTGACGTAAGCATTTTTTATGTTTTTTCTTATGATTTTGTATGTATATATATATTATGATAATATCCACTCGGTGATAACTCGATGTACTATAAATTATATGCGCAAAATATTTTGTTTAAAAAAACCGTTAGCGAAAGTGAAATCAAAAAATGGAAAAAGAACGTTAATAAAACCGTTAAATTTTCGGTTTAAATTTTTCTATTTTTTTTTTTTTTCAATTACGTCACGCGATCGAATTGACCAATGAGAGAAGAGTATCGAGTTTTAATTATTTTCAAACGGTTATTCGAATAACGGTTTTCAAATCATGCGGAAGGGATGAATGGAAAAATTTTCCAAAAAAAAAAAAAGTTTTTGTAGTTTTTTTTCTTCTTTTTTTTTTTTATTCAAGTAACAAATAATAATAATAAATTAATTAAATAAAATATATCGGTGTAATAATAATACTTTTTGTTTTATTGTTTGAATAATTTTTTCAAAAAGAAAATGGCACAGGCGTACGATTTTGCATTAAATAAAATCGGTATGGATATTCATTCGTTTCCAATCTGGCACGATTATGTTAACTTTTTAAAATCCGTTGAAGCTTTAGGTTCATACGCTGAAAATCAAAAAATCACAGCCGTTAGAAAGGTTTGTTTGTTTTGAAATTTATTTTAATATAAAGCATAAAGGTAAACAATTGATAAAAAAATTGTGAAATTTTTTATATAAATCAAGGTATATCAAAAAGCAGTCGTTAATCCAATGCTACAAATAGAGCAAATATGGAAAGATTATATGCTGTTCGAGCAAAATATTAATCCTATAATAGCGGAGAGGATGGCGATGGAAAGGTCGAGGGATTACATGAATTCAAGAAGAGTATCAAAAGAGTTTGAATTGACGACGAGGGGAATTAATAGAAACGCTCCAAGCGTTCCTCCAACCGGTCATCCCGAAGAAGTTAAACAGGTTAATTAATTTAAAATTTCTATTTAACAAACCTGGAAGGTTTTTATTATTTATTCCCGTGGATGTCCATCACAGGTTGAACTTTGGAAAAAATACATAACGTGGGAAAGATCGAATCCACTCAGGTCGGAAGACACGACGTTGGTGACGAGAAGAGTCATGTTTGCTTTCGAACAGTGTTTGTTATGTTTAGGTCATCATGCGGATTTTTGGTACGAAGCAGCTCAATTTTTAGAGCAAAGTTCGGCAGTTTTAACGGAAAAGGGAGTGAGTAGTGAGAAAGAGATGCGGGATAATAATCCATTATTCCCTTCTATCCCCTTTACTATTTCACGTGTTGATTCATTTTCAGGACGTCAACGCCGTTAAAATATTTTCCGACGAAGCGGCCAACATATACGAAAGAGCGATAACCGGAGTGCTAAGCAAAAACATGTTACTTTATTTTGCATATGCAGATTTCGAAGAGGGTAGACACAAATACGAAAAAGTACATCAAATTTATTCGAAATTTTTAGACATACCCGAAATCGATCCGACATTGGTGAGCGTGATGTTCTCTGACGGGAAAAAAGTGAACGGAAATCGGATTTTTTTTTTTTGTTAAATTAAATTAAATTAATTTTTAGGCTTACGTACAATACATGAAATTTGCAAGGCGAGCCGAAGGTATTAAAAGTGCTCGTATGGTATTTAAAAGAGCGAGAGAAGATTCGAGATCAAATTATCACATATTTGTAGCGTCTGCTCTAATGGAATACTATTGTAGCAAAGATAAAAATATCGCATTTAGGATATTCGAATTGGGATTGAAAAAATTTGGCGACAATCCGGATTACGTTCGGAGTTACATCGATTATTTATCTCATTTAAACGGTAATAAGGTTTTAAGAGGGGGGAAAAAAAAAAAAACTTATCATAAAGAACGTTTAATAATAATAATAATAATTGTTTCAGAGGATAATAACACGCGGGTTTTATTCGAAAGAATTTTATCATCGGGTTCGTTAGACGCTGAAAAATCCGTGGATATTTGGAATAGGTTTTTAGAATTCGAGTCAAATATAGGAGATTTGACGTCGATTGTAAAAGTTGAAAAAAGACGGTGTGCCGTACTACAGGGAATAAAAGAATTCGAGGGAAAGGAAACGGCACAATTAGTTGATAGATATAAATTTTTGGATTTGTACCCGTGTTCGGCGGCAGAACTCAAGTAAATCAATCGAATTTTGATTTTTGATTGACGCGGAGGTGAAATGTCGTTCATTGTATGTAATCGTTTATTTTCCAGGTCCATAGGTTACAATGAAGTCGCGAAAACGACGAGAGCATTCCATTCGGCGGGTCATCATAATTTCATAAGAGATTCAGACGATCAGAGAGAACTTCTCGCGAGACCCGATTTCTCTCAAATGATACCCTTCAAACCTAAAATAAACGTTTTACCCGGGGATCACGTGGTACCCGGTGGTACTTTTCCAATGCCTCCGGCAGCAGTACACTTATGTTCAATCATTCCACCAGCTACGAAATTTATCGGACCATTCGTTCACGTCGAATACCTCATGGAAGTGTTTAATAGGATTCAGCTTCCGGACAAAGGTTAAAAATTATACAATCGTTTCGGAGAAAGAAACGCAGACGAAAATAAACTAATAAATAAAAAAATAATTTGTAAATTACAGCTCAACCACCGAACGGAGAAAACAATAGTTCAGATATTAAATTGTTCGATTTAGCAAAATCGGTTCACTGGCTCGTTGAAGATGGAGTACCTAGTTTTATGAGAAAAAAGCGAAAAACCCAAAGAAACGAAGATTCCGATGATGAAGATTTTGTCGCACCACCTAAAAACGATATATACAGACTACGTCAACAAAAAAGAACTAAATAAATAGTTATTAGGCGACAAATTTTGTACAAACTATATACATATATATACATATATTTAAATATCAAAACAAAACCAAATCATAAAAATATCATCCGTAATTATTGGAAAAATAAATCAATAATAAAATCAATCAATAAACAAACGTGTCAATCTCACGGCGTTCTACATAAAGTCAAAGAAAATATTTTTAATTACCTGATTTATTTCTTTTTCTTAATATTTTAGGTATAAAAAAACAAACATGGCGATCACGTTGTAATAATGATTACAAAGTATAAAATCACGTATTGAAATGAGAAATGACTACAAAAGTAATAAATAAAATTTGATCGTTACGATTTTATAAAGAACATCATCGGTCGCCATGTTTTTTTTCGCGATTTTAAATATTTAATCGAACGATTATTGATACGTAAATTACACGCGATTTAAACGCGATTTGATAAATAACGAGTAACGATTTCCCGACGTATTAATATTATATTAAATAAATTTTACAATTAAAACTATTTCCTTTAAATAATAACGTCATTAACAATTAAAAAAAAAAAAAAAAAACTTTTTTCAATGTCAGCAAACGTTTATACAAAAAAAAAAGATAAATAAACGTAATTTTAGTGATCATCCTTCTGATGCCACGATCGTAAGGAATGACGTTTTTTTGGCCAACCTACAAAAAAATTTTCGCGGCGTTTTCTTCAGTTTCAGTGGTAGCGTTCGTTCGTGAAATTTTTTTAAAAAAATCTAAATACATCCGGTCAATCGGTTTTTATTTTGTGATAAATAGATTCGATTATGTACAGATATTCGTCGGCGGCAAAAATCACTTCAAACATGTAAGAATTTCATTATATAAATCAATAGTAATCGATAAATATATTCACCTAAATTTAAGGTAACTCTTTCGCCATTTTGAATTCTGTTTCTTGTGTCTAAATTCATATTAAAAATATTTTACATCGCGACAAATATTCAAAATCATAACTTTTAAGTTTTTCTTTTTAATAATAACACACATTACATCACATTTTAATATATATGTAATTAAATTAAAGTATGTAAAAAGTATAATTGACATAATGTACCATTAGGCTGGCAAGTAAGTACTATTGTAGATTTTTTAAGGAAACAAAAAACGACCCATTAATCACAAAATATTATTTTAATGTAATGCCATTATTAACAATAACCTTTTACCATTTTCCAAGTGGTATCATTATCCCTTTTTCATAAAACTCTTTACTTATATGACCAAAAATCTCTTCTCCAATTCCTTTTCTATTGGTTAGCTCAATTGTCTAATGTAAACCTCTGAATTTATGGTTTGATTTTGTTCCAGCAGCTCAAAGTATACAATGCCTTTGTAATCTCACCAAACTGATACCAGTATTCCTTTTCAGGTGCCTGTGTAGCCTTGCCTAGACCAGGATCATTTCCTCAAAACGTTGTCATTATTCATGATAGCCTTATTTCATCATCCACTGGACCTCCAGTGCACTCTTCCAAAGAAAAATCCTTTCATACAATTTAACAATTCAATCAAATGTTGATACTGAAAGGTACAGAACTAACATGTAAAAAGTTCTCTTTGGTGCAAAAATGTATCAACTATACCATTTGTGAAATCCTGATTTACTTATTTGCCAACCTGATATTACAACCTGGTATGTGTGTGAATACCACACAGACCTCAATTGGTCAATTTAAAAACGTTTGAAACTTAAATTATATAAAAGGAATGCATTAAATTTAATCATATATATTAAACGTTAATAAAGAATATCACATACATAAAATAATAACATTATAATTAAACTTTTATTAAACGGTTATTAATTCAAAAAGATAATTTTTAACAATTTAAATAAATTAATACATAAAAAAATGATTTTACATTAGACAACTAAACAACACAACTAACATGAAACTCAGACACACTTAAAACAAAACATAATTATTAAAGTTAAAAATTATCATTATGAGTAAAAGGTTATGTGCTTGGACATGCAAAAAAAAACTTGATAAAAAAAAACGGGGGGGGGGAGGGTATCTGTGTGTTAATGTGTGGCATAAAGTGCTTTCATAGCTTCTAAATTAAATATCAAATTTTTCTTAGAATTATTTATATGAGGACCCAAATTATTATTTGCCTTGAATAGTTTTCACTTACTTTTGTTATGTTTTAAGTAATTTAATACTCTCTTTTATAAAATGTATGAATTATCAACAAGTTGTGTTGATTAATAAAAAATTCTCTCAGTCTACCTTTTCATTATTTTTAATTCTAATAATAATAATAATAATATTTTAACGTTTTTTTTTCTCTTTTTTTTACAGGCAACATCTTTGAAAATATATATACATATTAATCATATTGATTGAGAAAAGTGAAAATTCAAATTCAATATGATTTCTTATGGAAAATAATGGTAAGATTAATATTATTATTATTTTTTTCTTCTTCTCATTTTTCTCTATTCTATTATTCTTTTCAATAGTTAAAAGAAGGCAGTGATGATGATGAAGTTTTTAAATACATATATATAAAAATGGGGGTTACTTTTCTTCCAATCAGATATTGTTATTTCATGAATGAATTTTTTCCCTTTTCAATTATGACTCCGCCTAAATGCCACCACACCGTTTTGCAAAAAAAAAAAAAATTTTTTTTTTTTTTTTTTCTTTTATTATTTTCAATTCTTTTTATTTTTTCCTAATGGTCAAACCACCACCAAAATTATTTACATACGAATAAAAATTATTTATATACATTTATAAAAGTACCATGTGACTTTTTTTTCTTCTTTTTGTTAATATTTGATAACTGAGCAATCACCAATGATTGAAATATTTTTATAAAAACGATTAATCATTATTATTATTATATGAGAAAAACAAAAAGAATGGGTGGGAGAAAAAGAAATTTTCATTAAAAAAAATTTTTTTATTAAATTTTATGTACTCCATTGTCATTATTTTAATGATGTAACATCAATTCTGAAAGTTATCAGGTTTAGAATGCTTTAAGGTTGAATGAAAACAACAACGACAACAACTACAACAACAACAACGACAATAACAACAACAAAGACAACAACGACAACAACAACAACGATAACAACGACAACAACAACAACGACGACAACAACAAAAACAACAGCAACAACGACAACAACAACAACAACAACACCAACGACAGCAACAACAATAATAATAATAGGAATTATGGAGAGGTAATTCTTAGAGACCGACAAGAAGAAACCTTTTAAATGTCTGACATTGATGAAACTTGAAACACCAACGATGGAGTATCATTCGTGGATGCAGAAGAGATAGTCAAAAAATGATAAAATTACATCCCTGATTCTGATAGTAGGACCATACACTGGACACTCTTACATTGGACATTCATACACTGGACATTTATACACTGGACATTCATACTGTAGGACAATAATTTAAAAAAATGATGTAAACTAATTGAAATGTTCGAACTGATGGAAAAAACATTACAATAAAAGACCAAAAAGGTTGGAATATAATAATTTACCTGGACGTCTACATAATGGAAGCATCGGAAGTCATACTAAAATCAATTCGAAAATAAATTTTCATCGATTTAAAGACAAATACCCGTAAAAGGGAATCATATTGTTTAGTACACCTTTAAAAATTATATAAATAATACCACCGTGATTAATTTTTAAAGGATTTATTCCAGAAGAATCGGGTAGAAATCGGTGCATAACTTCAACAATTACATGAAACTTGTATTGATTACAAGTAAATAATAATAATAATAATAATAATGAATGAGAATGGTTAGCTGTTATAACTTTCAACGTTTAACAAATGCCACGTCAACTAATATCGTTTTCTTTCATACGGTACTGCATAATAAAGTTGCTTAACAACAATTGCAAATAATACAATTACATCATTCACAATTATCAAACAAACACCAACGGAATTTTGATTTTTTTTTTTTTTTTAAAGAACAGGAAATGCAGTTTGCATCAATTTGCAAATCACCTGCTTTAAAAAAAAAAAAAAAAACCATTCTCATTTTATTTTTCTCACAAAGTGTATGCATAAACATGTGAGAAATAATATTCAACCGAATTTACTTGAGTAGAATTAAAAAAAAAAAAGAATGAATAACTTTTGTTGTTGTTGTTGCACGGTAGAGTTTCGATAACAATGGATGCATTTTCTTGTTTGTGATTTATGCATTTTTCTTTTATATACGTTTCATTCATGAGCAAAAAAAAAAACAACCTTCCATTATGTTTAACCGGAACAAACCGTTAGACTTTCACTGTGACACAACATCACTTGCTTGTTTTTAAAGTTTTTGAAACCGCAACGCATTTCCTACTCAATATGAAATCATGTAAAACATTTAACGAGGAAAAGTGGTTTGTGAAAATGTTTCCAATGGGAATCTTGCAGCAAAAAAAAAAAAAACATTTAACAAGATCAATGTAATACAATCAAGTTATTTCTGGAAGCTGAGTTCTTTTTTTTTATAAAAAACCAAATAACTGGTTAGCTGGTGATGGTGATGGTGAAAGATGAAACCTGCTGATTTTTTTTCCTTTTTTATTATTATATTCATCAGAACATTGAACAACAAAACCAAAAAGGGATGTTATATTTAATTTAATTTTAAAACACAACTTTTTTTTTGTTCCTTTTCATCAACGAAAGAAAAAGAAGAAGAAGGAGGAGGAGGAGGAAGAGGACAAAAGGAAGAATTTGCAAAAAAGAAAGAGCTTATAATTTTTTTTTTTTTGCAAATTTTAACCCTTCTTCTTCTTTTTCTTTAATACAATTGTACGTGTGAAGATTCTTGGACACAGCAACAGCAACAACAACCATGCAACAGAATTTATGAAAACCGGTAGTCAAATAATAAATTAGCTTACCCTCATTGAATTAAATCTAATTTTAAATTCAAAATGTTTTAACGAATGGGCAAATTTTTTTTTTTCTTTTTT